GAAACAGACTAGGTATAAAAAATGGAAAATTACATTAGGTCACGAAGCAAATATAAACCAAACAAGATAAAATCCATTCATGTTGACTATCATAGTATTGAGATCCAGGAATGCATGCTCTCTGTAGTTAAAGCAGATTATCTTCACTGCCATCTATTGGTCTTTATCCTGAATTAGAAGAAAAATCCCCCAAGGTTCCGCATGGCAACTAAAGAGTTAGGAAAGTCAAAATATCAGTGGGTATCATAAGTGGTTTACTCTAGATAAATTATTGAGAGAATCATAGTGACAGGCCCTTAGGAGTCCTGCCTTAGAATTTCCCAAGGGTTTGGTAAATGATCCTGCAGTGAAGACTGAATCCCAGGGTATCAGATCTGACTTGATGGCAGTTGAGGGACTTGGCCAAGGTTCCCACTTGATATTTGGGACTAAAATGTCCCACCTGAAAAGAAGTGGTCTACCTTGCAATTAAAGAAAATGTGGGCCAGGCACGGTGGCTCATGGCCATAATCCCAGCACTCTGGGAGGCCGAGGTGGGCAGATCACCTGAGGTCAAGATTTGAGACCAGCCTGGTCAACACGGTGAAACTCCATCTCTACTAAAAATACAAAAAAAAAAAAAAAAAAAAAAAAAAAAAAATTTAGCCAGGTGTGGTGGCCGGTGCCTGTAGTCCCAGCTACTCAGGAGGCTGAAGCAGGATAATTGCTTGAACTTGGGAGGAGGAGGTTGCAGTGGGCTGAGATCATACCATTGCACTCTAGCCTGAGCAACAAGAACAAGACTCCATCTCAAAAAATAAACAAACAAACAAAAAAACCAAACCTGGGCATGGTGGTTCACACCTGTAATCCTAGCACTTTGGGAGGCTGAGGCAGGCAGATTGCCTGAGCTCAGGAGTTCGAGACCAGCCTGGGCAACACGGTGAAACCCTGTCTCTACTAAAATACAAAAATATTAGCTGGGCGTGGTGGCATGCGCCTGGGTGCGCCTGTGATCCCAGCTACCCAGGAGGCTGAGGCAGGAGAATCGCTTGAACCCAGGAGGCAGAGGTTGCAGTGAGCCAAGATCATGCCACTGCACTCCAGCCTGGGTGACAGAGCAAGTCTCCATCTCCAAAAAACAAAAACAAAACAAAACCAAACAACAAGAACAACAACAAAAGAAAATGTGAAAATGGATAGTTCTGAGGAAATGGGAAAAGCCAGTTGCTGAGAGAGCTGCAGTAAAGACAAGTCGGTCCCATGAAGAGATGCCTATTTCCTCTCTCTGCTCCTCAGCTATGTTCTCTTCATAAGCAGAAATTCTGTGACCAGGCAACTCTCTGTATGGCTGGGTTGCCTGGCCTAAGTCCTTGGCTTGACTAAAAGCCCTTAATAATCCTGCCAGTGCCCCACAGTTTCAGAGGAATTTCTAGGAGTGCTAACCTTCTATTGGCTTACTAGGGTAGGGATTCAGGTCTTCATCTATAACCTCAACATGTGCTTTGACCATGTGCCTCCCAGGCTCCACTACGGATATAACAGGATGTACCTAGAAAATTCCTTTATCTTTTTTTTTTTTCCTTTTTGCAGTTTCTCAGGTTAAAAAAAAAAAATCCTTTATCTTTGTTTGAAAGAGAAGATCATCACCTTAAACTTCCTAAATGTTCATGAGTCAAACAGGACGATAATATTTACCCCATTGTTATCATCCCTATCTTTTATTTAATGTCATGAGTATAGGGTGTGGACTGGAAGAAGCCATACAGAGTTTCACAGTTGTGTGGGGTAATTAGTAAGTTTTGTATGTGTGCCTGGGATATTAGGGTTGTAAATCACAATTAAAGATGAAAAATGTTAGGAGGGAAGTAAAGCAGAAAGCCCAAATCAGACAGTGAATTAGGGATTAAGTGGGAGTGGTGGAATGGCAGGCTAAGAACATTTACAGAGAGAAAAAATAGCAGAGACTCTCTCAAAACAAGAATTCATTGTTCTAACATTCAGGAAGTATCTATATAGGGTGTGGAGGAAAAAAAGGAGATGTGGGACATTTCAGAGCAGACACTGCCCAGACTAGATCTTTTATCCTCCCATGCACATGCACACATACACCTCAGTTCCATTATAAGCTTTTGGTGAAAAAGGTAAAGCATTTTATTGAAAAAGCCTCACAGTTCTGACTCTTTGTCATTTTCATCCAGATAGTATTCATCATCTGTGGTTGTGTCTGTGTCACAATCTGAGTCCACTGGGTCATCTTCGTAGATATTAAGCGGTTCACTTGGAGATAAGCCATCTTCTGGCATCTGACTACAGGGAGAATTTGAGCTTAACGACTCTGAGGGGTTGGGAGCGTTCCTCAAATCATCTTTTAGGAAGCCAGGGTTCTTAAGAAAACTTGGTTTCCATAATCTTCCTTGTGTAAGTGACCTCTTTACATTCTCTAAGAAAGCTAATTGTTGTTCTTTCCCAAAGATCCCATAGTCTATAGGTCTGTATATAGATGTTGCAGACCTGGGACCTGTTTTTGTGCCGCTGCGATAAGCCCAACTTTCATTTCCATCATAGGAGGGGAGTTCAGAAAAAGATCTGAATCTTCGACTGTACCCATTGTTGACAGAGAATTCATTCCCAAGGGTCAGTCGACTCAGGGCATTGTCAATAGAAGTGCTTTCAGAAAAATGGCGCTCTCTGACTTTTGGAGGATGACTTTTTCGTAGTAGATCGCCATGCACATTAATGCTTTTTAAACTCTTTGAACGATAGAGGTGTGGCTCAGGTTCCCACTCCAGAGATGAAGCACTCCTTTGTTGCCGCAGAAAACTGGCCAGTGGGATGCTTACTCTAGATTTCTGTGCAGGCTCCAGTGAAAAAGGAGGGCTCAGCCTCCTCTGATTGTCAGAGAATTCTGCTTCCCTGAGGCTGGTGAATGTGATGGGGGATGGGGCTCCTGATTCTCTTTCTAAATTCTCAGCTACTGTGACATCTCTAGAAATCTCATGCTTTGATGGTGATTCTGAGACATTTTTAAACTTGTTCTGATGTCGTTGTGAAATGCTATTAGACTTCTGGTTGCTGACGTGTGTAGAAGGTTCTCTGTTGGGTAGTACAGTAATGGGGAGAGGGTTCTCGGATTTCTTCACATGCTTTCCATCCTCACTCAACCTGCTTTCGCCTACGGACTCTGCAGATTTTGGAGTAGGCTCAGGGAACAGTGGGTTGCACTCCACTGTGCCAAGAGATAAATGGTCAAAGCCAGATCTGCTTCCACTTTGGGGGAAGATAGTAGCTACATGTCTTCTGGGGCTTACATCTTTAGCTGGGAATTTTCTGTTTGCTTTAGACATGACTGCCAATCTGTGTTTAACTGAAGATCTATTTTCCCCCTTTACTAGGTCATCAGAATTGGTTTTATTTTTATTGTTTCCTTCAGGAAGTGAAGGTTGATCCCAAGCTGATTTCTGCATTTCATCTTCAGCCTTCCTGCTCTCTGTCATATGTGCCTCCTGACTTCTTTGAGGTAATTCTCTGGGTTCAGACTGCAGAATCTCTAAGTTTGGTTCATCTGACTGAGTCTCCTCACCAAGCTGTAGTTTATGCAATGCTGGAGTAAGAGCAAAGACTCGACTCTCTGAGTGAGAAAGTGTTTTATTAGTCATTTTTTGGCAGTTGGTTCCGATGTCCCCTCTGCCTTCCCTAGGCTGTGATCCACTGGAGTCATCACTTACAGTTGTGGATGTGTGATCTTTCTGAGGACACTTCCCACTTCCAGTAAAAGGAATGGCTCTACCACTCCCTGTAAACTCCCAAGAATTTCTTCTGGCTTGGGAATTTCCAATATTAACTTCTGAAAGAGCTGGAAGACTAGAGGGACCACTGTTACTTGAATTAATGGATTGTTGACAATTTTCAGATTTTTCTTCGGAAATATTTTTTCTCTGAAGCATCAATAAAGTATGCAGGGTTTCACTTTGCAGTTTTTTACCTCTTTCTTTCTTGTTTTCTGAATCACCTAGAGGTATTTTAGCTAAATTAACTGAAAAAATCTCTCTAGCTTTAGATTCCTCTTCAGGAAGAGAAACTGCCTCAACAGAAGCCATTTCCTGTAATGTAGGCACTAGGGGCCCCCTATTTGATAATCCGAAGGCAGTCATATTTTCAGTGGTGAGCATCTGATCAGAGTTGACCGACATCTTTAGATTTTCACATGAAGGTGTTCCTGACTGCTCTCGTGTAAAATAATTCTGTTCGTCTTTTTCTAAAGCATTACGAAATGTTTCAGTTTCCACTTGAGGTGATTCTGTAAGTGAATTAGTATTTTGCGTATACTGTTGAAGGAGGTTACAGAATTTTTTGCTGGGTTTCCTCGGTAGAGTATAATATACTGAGACCACCTCCAGACATTTTACATTATCTTCATCACCAGAAACAGAAAACGTACTAGTTGTCTTAACTTTATGTAATGTTTTCCCACGTTCTTTTCCTGACAAGTCTGAACAAAAAGGTAAAGGGTCTTCATTTGAAAGGGCAAGTACACTTCTCCTGGAGGCAGCCATTTTACCCTCTTTCTCAGTGCATTCTTGGAAGTTTTCCTCTTGGTGGTGTCTTTTGGTTAAAGAACAATCTCTAACAGATGAGTCACTTTCCACAGGGCTAATGATTCTCTCCCAAGCCCTTGGCGTTAGCTCAGAAGCATCTGTGCCTGAGGTCAATGGCTTTTTTCTTTCTTCTTTTCCAGTTGAGGCATGTGGCTCCCCTGAGGGACACGACATAGCCCGGTTAATGAGGAATGGAAGGGGTCCTTTTCTAACGGAAGTAGATCCACTGCTTTTTACATTTGTCATTCTCTCTGTGGCTTCAGGTGCTTCCAGGGCTGAGTCTGAAATGACTTTGGAACATTCATTCACTGACTCAGGAGAACTGGTACTAAATTTATTTAATGTGTAGTTCCCCATTGCATCTTCCACATTATTTTTGATTTGGAAGGGAGGTGGCCCATTCCTCAATGAAGCAGCCATTATTTTACTTCCTGACTGCCTGCCATGTATGAGAAAACTGCTTGATTTTCTTGGCAAGGTACAATAAATTGTGTCAAGCTCAGAAACTTTGGAATTGCTTTGATTTGCTTCAATGAGGCTCCTGTGATCACTGGTGGGTACTGATATACTTTCTGTTTTGCTTAACTTTTCAATACAGGATATACGATGCCTTATTTTTCCCTTTCCTCTTTCATTCCTAAAAGGAGAGTGTGAATGGCATTTGACATCAACCACTTCATCGTGTGTAGGCACATGATTATCATTTCTCTCTTGGTTTTCTGAGTGGCTTAAAATAAACTGATTCTTTTGGTTCTTCCCAGCATTGTCTTTTTCTTCTCTTTCTCCTAGCGATAGATCTTTGTCTGAAGGACTTCTCCTGGAGAAAACTGTAGTAGATGGAACCATAGGAGCATCAAGGAAAGAATTATTTGATGGTGAGGAATCTGGTAGTGTAGCTGATGACAGATCTAAAGAATCACACGAGCTCTTGTGGCCAGCAGTCAACTTGCTGCAGTTGGTAGAATGAATTGTGGCACATTGTTCTCCCTCAGTATCTAAAATAACAGGCTTTTCTGGAGATTGTGCATTTTGAATATCAGTTGGTGCAGAGCTCCGGTGGTTATCTGTAATAATGCTTGAAATATCTTCATTACTTACAGTTAATTCCTGGTGATGACAACCTTGGTCTGTCCTGGGGAAAGATGGTGGTGTTCTGTGTTCCTGAATGAAAGGAAAGGAAGCCGTTGAGCCAAGTTTTCTGTTCTCAGTAAACCTCTTATCTTGTTTAATGTCATTGGATTTATCTTTGTGTGGTGTATACATTTTGGAGGTATCTTTCCTGGAAAAGACTCTGGGTGACTTTTTTGAACTTATTGTGGTAGATGCACTAAAACCAAACTTGTTGCTATTGGCTGAGTCCTGGAAGAAAGGATTTTGAAAATCAGGTAAAGAGTTTGAGATCCCTCTCTGTGAAACAGGTTGGGGTACTTCACCTGCCTTGTTTGTCTGGTCCATCTTGCTTAGCTGTTTGTCTTCTTCTGAAATAGATTCATTTAAGTCTTTCTCATTATTCACTTCTGTGACCAAGATACTGGGCTGGCTTTTGGCAAGAGGCAGAGAGTCAATTGAATTGCTGTTGGTCACAGTGACTTCTGTATAGCTTCTCATTGGATGAGAGGCAGGCTTATTAGGAATAATTTTCTGCAAAGTGACTGTGGGATTCTGCAAGTTGGGACTCTGAGGATTCCTTCTGTCATCAGAAGTCTGGGGAAAGGAAGTTTTGAATGAGGGTGCTAGAGTCTGAGCAATTCCAAATGAGGAAGCTTCTTTGTTTATATGTACTTCTACAGGAGAACTGTCCTGTTGGCTTACCAACTCACCAGATTTGACGTGATAGCTTGAACCAGTCATGGAGCAAACATTTGGTGTGCCAAAATGAGGAGTCAACTTGGTCTCATTACCATGTGATACCGCCATGCTCTCCAGTGTGGATGTCTGAAAATCAAACTGCCATGGATGTGGCTCTTCTTGGACTCTGGAAACATCTGTTCCATAACCAGAAGAAAATGATTCCCAGTGTTCAGAAGAAATACTATGGCCATGAATGGCTGATGCACTATTTGCTTCCATGGAAATCATTTCAAAGTCTCTGTCAGAAGAACTGAATGATTTCCTGCTTTGATGAAAGTCAGACCAGAAAGAATGTCCTTTCTGTTGGCTCCAAAAAGGACTTTGTCCAAATCTCCTCTGTTCTCCGCTTCGTCCAAAGGTATGGCTGAAGAAAGACCTGGCAAATGGGTTGCTTTGATGGTAGAATGGCATATTCTCTGAGTTCTCAAAAGTGTCAGGACTCATTGCATTCTCCATGGGAACATTTAAACTAACACGTTGGTAAACATTCTGTGAATGGTACGATTCATATTTCCTATTCTCCTGAAAACCCCTGGGATACACATACTTGTCAGCAGGGTCAATTTCCATTGGTGATGGTGCCCTCAGGAACTCTTCCTGGTTCTCCCTATCTCTAGAGGAATCCGATCTGTTCCATATGATGGATGATAAAGGAGTTCTCTTTGGACTCTGCTGGTGCCTTGGTGGTATAAACCCACTCTTGTTCTGAGTTGTGGCTGGAAAATGTAAGCTTCTTGCTGTGAAATGCCCTGTGGCTGGTAAGGCCGACCGTTGTCTGCTGTCAAAACACAGCGAAGTACTTCCAAAAGTATTCTTTTGCACATAATCTTCTTTAAAGACTCTGGGCTCCCTTGTCCTGTACATATCATAAATTGTCCTTGTCCTAGGAGAAAAGGTTTTAAAACCTTCCCTAGGAGTTCCTGGTCTTAGGATGTCATAGATAGACATATTGGAAGTTTCATTATAGTGTTTTTTGTGCCTTTCTGTGATATTACCATGTCTGCTACCACTGGAATAAAAGTGACTGAACTGTGTCCTTGATCCATAGTTGAGGGGTGCTCTGGTATTCATTGAGCTTGCAGACTGTTCCTGAGCCAATTTGCTATCCAAGTCATCTAAAACTGAAAAGAGAATGTGAATCAACTTTTTTGTATATGTTTTTACAGTTTAATAATAATTTGAGTTATTGAAGTCTCCTTTTCAAGAAACATAATCATTTATAATTTTATCATATTATCATAAATGTTGTAACATTAATTTTGATTATATTTTTAAGATAGTCTGACTTTTACAAGACTATAATGAAAATTTATTTCCTGCTTTTTCAAATCACTTTTTTTCAAAGTGAACCTTCCATAACGCCCTAAGGAAATAGAACTATATTCTTCTAACAATGAATTTTAATCATGGTTTTTTTTAGTGCATCCAAAGTGTACTGAGTTTTTCTAAGGTATGGGATAGTAATAAAAGGGAACTAATAATGCAGACATTGAATAACTAGACAATTGTTAGTGTTGTTAAGCCTTGTCTTTTCGTTTCTTTCATGTCACTAGGTTGCTACAATATTTCCAGCTGTGTATACCTCCTGGGATCATAATAGAAATGAGCCTCTGTAAGTAGCATATGATTTCTAGGTTGTACTGTAAAACAGTATTACCACCAAAAGCTTAGCACCTAATTTATGAACATACTTAGGTGGATGGGGGATTCGAGCAATATATATAATTAAAAGTGTCAGATAATATTATTAAATGATATGCCAATGGTAGATTTCTTTTTTCTGGAAAAATTAATACCCATGAACACTCCTATAAAACAGCACTTTCTGTGTGTCAGGCAGAGTCCTAAACACTTAATATATTAACTCATTAAATCCTCACACCACCTTAGAAGGTTGGTCCTATTACTATTATTATTCTATAATAAGGAAACAGAAGCAAGAAGAGATTAAGCAAATTCCTAAGATCACACAGCGCTGGGATTTGAACCCAGACCGTCTGTTTCCTGAGTCGATGCACACGACCACTATGCAATGCAACCTCTGTGCCATAAAAGCTCACTTTTCAGCCAGGCACAGTGGCTGACGCCTGTAATCCCAGCCCTTTGGGAGGCCGAGGCGGGTGGATCACGAGGTCAGGAGATCGAGACCATCCTGGCTAACACGGTGAAACCCCGTGTCTACTAAAAATACAAAAAATTAGCCAGGCGTGGTGGCGGGTGCCTGCAGTCCCAGGTCCTCAGGAGGCTGAGAATTCTCCTGCTGAGGCAGGAGAATGGTGTGAACCTGGGAGACGGAGCTTGCAGTGAGCCGAGATGGTGCCACTGCACTCTAGCCTGGGCGACAGAGCGAGACTCTGTCTCAAAAAAAAAAAAAAAAAAAAAGACAGAAAAAAACCCCTCACTTTTCATATTTTGCTCTTTATGAACCATACAGATGATTTTACTATGAGATGAGCTCACAGTTTTACAAAGACGTGAAGCTGCTGTTGTGAAATAATGATTACTTTTCTCTCAGGAGCAAAGTTGGGGGTGATGTCAAAGTCAGTGCCCAGGGGCCTCCTTATGATAACTGAAGACCTAGACCAAGCCCAGACCCAGGGCTCTTGCTCTCTAGGACCACAGCCTCTGTGATCTCAGACAAGCCTGTGTTACCTTTTGGTGACACAGCTGGCTTTTCTTTGAATTGTATCAATTTAATTGTACTTGACATATTTTCCTCAATAAAAACCCATTAGACTTTGAATAGAATCATAATCTTTTGAGGTTTGTAGACTCTCTAAGACTCACTCTATAGTAGATATAGTTTACTATATTCATGTTCAATAAATACGCAGAAATTACAAATTTTATTTCAACTGTATAATGACAGGAAATCTAAGTGTCTGAGCACACATAGGTGAAATGTACATACAACATGCCAATTATGTTAGGGCAGATGCTAAAGGGATTTAAAAAAATCTGTTCTTGATTTTTCGCTATCCTATTTTATTTGCAAGTTGGTGTTATTAAGTTTGTACAACCAAAAGAAAAACTGATCTTGAACATTAAGGATATGTAATTAAGGAATTCTTTAGGGAATAATCTGTCAATGTTTTAGTGAAAAATATTTATATATCCCTGGGACCTGAAGTAATTTGTTCTCTATAGCCACAATAAAATAAGCAATGCTCAGGTATAAGGTGGGGCAAAAACAAAACAAAACAAAACAAAACTGCATAATGAATAAAAATCTATCTTTAAAAAAATTATAATGAAAATCTCTTTGATGTCCATTCTCCCTTTCAAGCTGTTTATGTTTTTCTTTCCCCTTAAAGTCTTGGCTGACTACAAGAGCAGAATGTATTTACAACAGAAAATACAGAAAAGTATAACAATATAGGTAAATCGCCAGGAATTCTACCTAGAGGTAACCACTCTTAACATTCCCACGACAGGATTTTAAATTAAAGCCACTTAGAATCCCAGATTAACACTGCTGTTTACTTACCACTCCTGACGTCAGAACAATTCCTGTTCTGCTTCTCTACATTATTTTCAGAAAGGCCACATTATTATTACTTTTTTCATTCCATAAACCGTAGCTCTCCTCTTCCAAAAAAACCTTCTTTTGGAACAAAGATTTTCCTCTGTTCTCTGTCAGGAAGCATCTGACTGAAGAAAGCCCATATGTTGACTGTCCAGCTGACTGTCTCTTCCCGACTGCTGTACCACACGATACGGGCCAGGCAATGGTACTGCCTTTGCAAACTAAATGTAGTTCCTCAAGGTGAAGCTGGTGGCGAGTTCAGAGTTAACTTTTCAAATGGCCGGGCTTATACAGAATAACCTTTGTAAAAGTGAACTATGATCAGATAGTGATAAGGTACACGTGCATTTGGAACGCCACTGCTTTTGGAACCTGTTTCAGTTTTTATCATCATACAAGGTTAATTGTCTAATGAATTAGATTTTATCACAGTGTATTTCGGTCCTAATCTGGAACAATAAAAGTCTATTAAACAGCAAACTTTGTAGATGTATTTCCTAAAGACGTATTTCCTTTTTACCTGAGGTTAATTTTTTTTTTTTCCCAAGATGGAGTCTTGCTCTCTCACCCAGGCTGGAATGCAGTGGCACGATCTCAGCTCACTGCAACTTCTGCCTCCCAGGTTCAAGCAATTCTCCTGCCTCAGCCTCCTGTGTAGCTGAGATTACAGGTGCATGCCACCATGCCTAGCTAATTTTTGTATTATTTTCAGTAGAGATGGGGTCTCGAACTCTGATCCCTGTGGTTAAATATTAAACATTATTACTACTCCATATATTTATCAGTCCTTGATTTGAGAATATTTGCTCAGATTATATTTAATCATAAGTTCTTAATACTTGTGTTAATAACATGTCAGCATCCTCTTCAAATAAGCTAAACAGGAGGACGTAAAAATTAAAGTACAGCGTTTGATATGTTTCGAGTAGTTTAATACAAACTAGTTATTGTTTACTTCCTTTAGTACCAGTAGTTGCAAAGGCAATTTAATACATGAACTTACCTTGGAAAAACTCATTCTCCAGCAGTGAAGCGTCCCACGGCGGAGGCATGCCACTCTCCTCCCTCATGACTGCTGGCTTTGGGACAAATGCACTGTCAACTAGTTGATTTTCCAGAGGTGAACTGTATATTTTTGTCTGCTAATTTTAAAGTAGAGAACACAATATTATTTCTGAGCCTTCACCAGTCAAAATACTCACACGCTCCCACCAAACTGTCCCAAGCTTAAAAATATTAGTCTAAGGACTACAAATCCATTTTTCTAATATTTATTTCTCAATTTCCAATGTGTTGTTTTTGCCATTTGTAACTGACCTGCAACTTCTCTATACCTACATTAATTCTTTCAATGATGAGACTTCAGGCAAGGTACTGAGCCTCTCTCTGCCAAAGTTTCCTGCAAACTTGACACAGCATTGTCAGAGGCGTTTGAATCAGGGCAACTCCATTTCGAATAGGGGTTGGGTAAAGTAAGGCTGAGACCTACTGAGCTGCATTCCCAGCCGGTTAAGGCATTCTAAGTCACAGGATGAGACTGGAGGTTGGCACGAGGTACAGGTCATAAAGATCTTGCTGATAAAACAGGTTGCACTAAAGAAGCCAGCTAAAACCCACCAAATACCAAGATGGCAACAAGAGGGACCTCTCCTGTTGTCCTCACTGCTACACTCCCGCCAGCGCCATGACAGTTTCAAATGGCATGGCAATGTCAGGAAGTTACCCTATATGGGCTAAAAAGGGGAGGAATGAATAAACCATCCCTTGTTTAGCATAATATCATCAAGAAATAATCATAAAAATGGGCAACCAGCAGCCCTCGGGGCTGCTCTGTCTATGAGATAGCCATTCTTTTATTCCTTACTTGCTTTCACTTTACAGACTCGCCCTGAATTCCTTCTTGTGCGAGATCCAAGAACCCTCTCTTGGGGTTCTGGATCCAGACCTTTTTCTGGTAACATCTTCCTGGCCACCACGGAAGGAACAATACTAAGGAAACCTTCCAACCAAAGGCTAACTTTGGGTAAGTGGTGGGGTGCGGTAACAGCATTACACAGATCTTAGTGGGGGTTCCTTGCAGAGAGGAAAGAAATTGACCCCTCTCGAGTTTGGAGTGCTGTCTCCATGGCCCCAATGGCTTGGATTTTGGATTTCCTAACGATGTCCGTTTTTTTTCAAGAGTCTGTTAGCTAGAACTCTTAGTGGACCTTAAGATTTGTGAACTTGGCTGCGTGCGGTGGCTCATGCCTGTAATCCCAGCACTGAGAGGCCAAGGTGGGCAGATCACTTGAGGCCAGGAGTTCGAAACCAGCCTGGCCAACATGGTGAAACCCCTGTCTCTACTAAAAATACAAAAATTAACTGGATGTGGTGGCCAGTGCCTATAATCCCAGCTGCTCCAGAAGCTGGGCCAGGAGAATCACTTGAACTTGGAAGGCGGAAGTTGTAGTGAGCTAAAATCACGCCACTGCACACCAGCCTGGGCCACAGAGCAAGACTCCATCTCAAAAAAAAAAAAAAAAAAAAACCCACAAGAAAACAAAAATACAAAAATTAGCTGGACGTGGTGGCAGATGCCTGTAATCCCAGCTACCTGGGAGGCTGAACTGGGCAGGTGGAGGTTGTAGTGAGCTAAGATGACACCACTGTACTCCAAGCTGAGAGACAGAGGGAGACTCTGTCTCAAAAAAATATATGAAATAAAATAAAATAAATAAAAAATAAAAATAAATTGTGAACCTGAGGATTTAGGGGGAAAAATGTGTTTCCATTAAAGGTCATCTAGAATAGGGGTCCCTGACCCCTGGGCCGCAGACTGGTACTGATCTGTGGCCTGTTAGGAATCAGGCCGCACAGTGTGGGGTAAGGGGCGAGCATTACCTCCTGAGCTCCGCTTCCAGTCAGCTTAGCCCCGGGATTAGGCCTTAGATTCTCACAGGAGGGCGAACCCTACTATGAACTGTGCATGCGAAGGATGTAGGTTGTGCTCTCCTTATGAGAATCTAATGCCTGATGATCAGAGGTGGAAGTTTCATTCCCAAACCATCCACCAGCCCTTTCCGTGGAAAAGTTGTTTTCCATGAAGTGGGTCCCTGGTGCCAAAAAGGTTGTGGACTGCTGATCTAGAATGGTAGAATCCCTCAGATGGCCATAAGGAGCTGATTTGGTAGTTCTGAAACAAAGGCACTCAAGGGTATGACTGTATAAATAATAAATGGCTTAAAAAAAAACCTATTGCTAGTTTTCAATGAAAGGATTTAGGAGAATGATATAGAACTAAATTTGTTTTCCTTTATTATTATTTTTTATTTTATTTATTTTTTTCGAGGTGGAGTCTAGCTCTGTCGCCCAGGCTGGAACGCAGTGGTGCAATCTCGGCTCACTGCAACCTCCACCTCCCTGGTTCAAGCAATTCCCCTGCCTCAGCCTCCCGAGCAGCTGGATTACAGGCGCCCGCCACTACACCTGGCTAATTTTTTTGTATTTTTAGTAGAGATGGGGTTTCACCATATTGGCCAGACTGGTCTTGAACTCCTGACCTCAGGCAATCCTCCTGCCTCAGCCCTGCAAAGTGCTGGGATTACAGGCGTAAGCCACCTCGCCCAGCTATTATTATTATTATTATTTTTACTAACAAATGTTCATCTTAATTTCATAAAATCTAATCACTGCCCTACTTTCAAGCTTTTGTCTTCAGAACCTTGCGAACATTATCCGCTCCCAAGCCCTCACTTTCTTGTGCCAAAACTCCATTTGATTTCCTTTGTCAAACTGGCTCTGTCACTCATGACTGCACTTTAACTCATCCTACACTCACCTACTTCCCTTTACAGTCTTTATTGTCAGCTCACTCTGCTACCCAGTCCTTGCCTCTTGAATCCCTCTCCCCCACTTCAAAATTTCCCTTTCTATTTGACCTTCACCACTGCATTTCATCATTTCATCTCATCTTTCAAGCCTAAGACCACACGCCCATCCTTTCCAAAGCTCCAACTTCTTAATTTCTCCATAACAGGTCTGTCCGATTCCACGGTGCCGGTTCTCGTAACCCCTACATTTCTCACGACCTTGTATTTTCACTCCTGCTTGTTTTCTTTCTCAAGGTCTAGGTCAGTTATTTCCTACAGAAACCTGCCCAAATTTCATTGACCTATGGTTTTCAGTTCTATGAGCAAGCCACGGTTGACCACTCACAAAGGAGATTTATTAATAAGAAAGGAGTGCTCCCATGATAACTTATTGGTCACTGAATATGATTTAGCATACTTACATAAAATTCGGAAGTAAACAAATGTTAAAAGCAAAACACAATTATAATGGGATACTGACTGGAGGTAATAAAACCTCAAACTAATCATTTGAGAAATCAGATCAGTTAAAGTTAATTCTTTTTACCCTACATCAAATTGTTCCCTTTTGTCTGTCTAACTCAGAGGTTACCCTACATCACTAATTATTGTTAGTGATATAACAGTTCATTACAGATCTTATAAATCCATTCTTCTCAAATCTTCAATTTTGGTAGTTGGTGCAAAGTAGATATATCTGATTAAGAGAACAGCAGGCATTCTCGACCATTTAACACCCAAACAATCTTTTCTCTATGTATGTAGACCAGTACATTCCTTGTGGCCCCCAGGATCACATGCCTTTGTAATGATAATTTACAGTGAAATGAAAAGTACATGAACTGAGGGGTCATGTGAAGAGATGACCCTCTCTAGGTTGGGAAGAATTACTACCTTCTAGAGACCCTGAGTGTAATTTCCTCTGGTTTTATTTCGCCCAGACCCTCTACTTCAAGACCTACCCTACTCAAACAACATGTTCAGGATGCTTTCAACACACAGAGATGTAAATTATACAGCTAACAAGAGAAAATATTGAGGTTTCATTTACACTCAACTGTAACTCTGCAAGGGTGACGTTAGTGATTAAAAAAAAAAAAGGAATAGTAGGTATCAGACATAAAGATTGAAAACTATCACTACCCTATAGACTCCTAATTTTTATTTAAGCTATGTGTGAGATATTATTATTGTTGTTAGCAGCAGCAACTGAACATTGATTATTCTAGGCAATGTGTTAAGGGCTTTATGTGAGTTACTTCAGTTCATTTAGTTTTAACTACCCTGTGGAGTTGGTATTCTTATTATCCCTACTTTGAGAAAACTGAGGTTTCAAGAGGTCAGGTCATTTGCCTTTGGTCACACTGGTGGGGGGAGGAGGTTCATTTCCAGTCTGTCAGATTCCAGAGCCAATGCTGAAATACCTCATTCTACTCATGATCAAGTTTTGCAGCTCTTGGCTTATTAGTGCATTACATCCCTGTAGCAGGAATTCTCGCATTCTCTGAAGCCAAACACAGATCATAGAGCTGCTGGGAGGCTCCTAAAGTTTCTTGTGACCTAGAAGAGAAGTACATCTCTCCAGGGCCCAGAGCAGACACTGACTGATCCTCCTCAGGGCTCAGTTTTGGA